GTTCAAAGTTTAGGGTTGAGGGCTTAAGGTTCAAGGTTTAGGGTGTAGGGTTGAGGGTTCAAGGTTCAGGGTTTAGGGTTTGGAGTCAGGGTTTGGTGTTACCCCTCAATAAATGGAAGCTGGGCCTACACGAGGATTCAAAGGTACAGTTCTTCGTCTTATGCGCCTAGGTTCCTTACATGATCACGGTACGGTGTCAGGGGTTGGGGATTTAGGGTTCAGGGCTTAGGGCTTAGAACCCTAAACCCTAAACCCGGGGAAAAAAAAAAGGGCTTAAGGAACTCATGTCAGAAGCACGGCCCCTGACAGGTTTTAAGCTCACCATTCCTGTGCATAGAGCAGCTTGCATGAAGTTAGGGAAGCCGGAGGTGTGGGGTGAAGGGATACGATTTGTTTAATTTGGGGTTCGGGGTTTTGGGTTTAAGGTTTGGGTTTTAGGGTTTAGGGTCTAAGGTTTAGGGTGTAGGGTTTAAGGTCTGGGGTTCAGGGTTTAGGATTTAAGGTTTGGGGTTTGGGGTTTAGGGTTTAAGGTTTGGGGTTTAGGATTTAGGGTTTAAGGTTTGGGGTTTAGGGTTTGTACCCTTGGGTTTTGGGCACCCGCAACAAACCTTACATCCGAAACCCTAAACTGTAGAGATGCCAATTCTGGGGGTTACATAGAGCAACCTTTTTAGGGGAGTCTCAGGGTTTAGGGTTTAGGGTCTCAGGGTCTATGAGGGGTTTGGGGCTTCAGGGAGTTTAGTACCAAAGAATCAGGTACGTACTTCTCTCGAAGGTATACAAAAGCCCCAAGTACCCAATTCTTGGGTGCTCCCTTGAACCTTAAACCCCTATGGGAGGTGCTGGGGTGAAGTAAGTTCAGCGGTTGGTATGCGTCGGGTCGAGGCTTGCTAGGGTTTTAGCTGTACCCAAAGGGCTGCAGTATCTTCATGGCATACGTTCAGGCTTTGAAGCACATGCGTGCGAACGCGGCTGGACCGCAAGTTCTTCCTGTAGAAGCAACTGGACCCGGTGATAGGGTATGCAGTGCACATCAGCATCACGTGTTTGCTCGGGATTTACTGGGCTGCTGTTTGCGAACCTCAATTCCGATTACCCCAAGGGTCCATGTAGCTATATAGTATATATTCGGACCCTAAAGCAGTTACATGTCAAACCCCTTTGGGCCCTAAACCCTATACTCTAAGTATATGCTACATAGTTACACGGACCCTTCGGGTTAAGTATTGGCCCAGATGCCGGTCACCACGGCGGAGACTCAACAAAACTGCATTGCGTGCTTATGGCACAATTCCTCGGTTTTAGGGGACCATGAACCCTAAACCCAACCCTTAACCCTACGCCCTAAACGCTAAGCCCTGAGCCGTAAACCCTAAACCCTGAACCCTAAACCCTTAACCCTAAACCCTAAGCCCTAAACCCTGAACCCTAATCCTTAACCCTGAACCCTAAACCCTTAGCCCCAAACCCAGAACCCTAAAACAAGGGAGACTAGGGCCATGGAGTTGTTTCGGAGGGATACTTAATGCATTGGATTGTTTAGGGTTTATGCCATTCCCAACACCCAACACTGCCCTCCCCGCCTCCTCCCCAGACTCTGCTTCACTAGCACTAGTTATCCTGTAGTGCACCTGGCTATGGAGCAACCAAAGGGGTAGTAGGGGAACCCATGATTGATGTATAGGCTTTCCTAATCCCTAAACCTCTGATGGTTCGGTACTGCCACTGTTGATATCCCAAAACTGCATGACGTGAGTAAATTACAGGATCACAGCTTTCAGGTTCAAGGTGGTCAGGGTCATACCGCCACTGCTAGGCGACTTAGGGTAGTGCAAGCTTTCTTCCATCAAGAGTAGCGCATTACCAAAATCTAGTGTCCCTGATCCAGGCCAGTATGGCGTACCAGTTCAGATGAGCAGCGTTTGTCTGGGGTCCTGTACTGCCCAAAATACATTGAGATTGTAATCTCCTTGTGGTTACCATAGTTTTTACAGACACTATTAGTTTTACTTCAACTAGCGAAAACACTACTCAAGCTCTAGCTACTCGTAATGAATCCTGTTGTCTAATTTTATTCCAGCCAGCGAAAAGACTACTCAAGTTCTGGCTCGTGAACCCTTTCGGACTTCATCTTTGGGGCTCGTCGGGGCTCTCAACGGATCAGTGAACATGTGTATGATCTTGTTATTCTAGAAAACCATATAGGCTTTCTAGAGTTTCGGGTTTGGGGATTTCACAATGTTTGGGTGCCGTAGGCAAGGCAGGATTTAATGGGAAGCTTCACGACGTTGATTTCATGATTATCTTTCTTACCCCAAAGCGCGTACAACCCATATACGAGCAGAAGCTGCTTCTCTCAAGATCAACCACGGCTATGATACTTGTCGTCCTGGGGACAATGTCAAACCGCGGAACCTAACAGTGGGCCCATCCTCTGAAAGCTTAAGTACATAGAATATGGGGCATATGGGGATCTTATTATAAGATACCCCAAAGCCATATTCTATCTACTTAAGAGGGACTGTAGAGTTTCGGGCACCGCTTAGGCTTCAGGGTTCAGGGCCCCATGGTCCAGAGTTTACATTCCAACGGCCTGAGAAGGATGGCCCCTGTTTGGAGAACACATGCTGGGAGGGTCAGGGGGACTTAGTAAGTGGGTTAAGCATGCAGTCCAGAAGCAATTCTGCCCAACAGACAGCGTACGGTGCATGAAGGACATTTTGCACCACACTAAGCCTTACAGGGTCCCTAGGCAATCCAAAATTGTGGCCATCCACCCTTTCGGTTGGGAAAACTGAGATTTGCCCCTCCCCTCGGTGGTGTGGTTGGGGTTTGGGGTAAAAAACATCCACCCCTTGTGTGGTGACTATATTGTACCCTCTAAGTTAGGATTATAAACTATAACCCCCCTGGTGGTCCTGTGGCCTGTGGTCTGGGTCTTGTGTCTTGTGGTTTACCCTAGGTTTTTCGAGGGGTTGTACTTGTTGATAGAGTGTTTATAACAGTTCATAGATATTTTCAACAAAGAAGACTTACAGAGATTTACCTTCTTATAGAAAGCTTATATAAGATGAGGACCATGCCGATCCCTGTGACTACCTTCAAAATACGACAACAACCTGAGGCTTCAAAAGCGATGCAAACCCTAGACTCCAAAAACTACACGGCCCCAAACTAACATGGAAACCCATATAGCCCCCCTTTGAA